ATTACAGGCTCCTTATTAGGTTACAGAAGCTAAAATCTTTCAATTTTGCCTCCAGCTAGACTTGAACCATTGACCTTAACTGTGGAGGGTATGGAAGCTTAACTGCTAAGCTATGGGACCCATACCTTTATTTATTTATTTATTTATTTATTTATTTATTTATTTATTTATTTATTTATTTTATTTATTTTATTTTTATTTGTTTTTAATACATTTAATCTATTTTATTAGGCCTGCCATATTTCAAACAAATCGAGCATCGAATCTACCACAGGTTCACGAGATTGATCCAAATAAGAATTCTTCAAATGATAAGTTAACTCAAAAAAATTATAGATTCATCTTACTTCAGGTACCTTTTCAACATCTTACAAATAATTAAATTCTGTTTGTTTTATCATTAGAGATATAGTGCATAAGAATTACACTTGAATAATAGATTTAGATCAATGAAAAATATTACAATATTAAATAAATTGTAATACAATGTTATTGTGGAACTAAAAAAAAAAAAAATTTATTTAGCATTTACTGGAGATGGAATTCACTACTATATGTTTTTAAATGCCATTCTACTGATCAATAGAAAATTTTACCTCTAATTTTAAAGCCAAATTAAACTTTAGAATTAGCTGAAGAGTAGGGTTTTTGGGGTGCAGAACATTTTACTTAGTTTATTGAACACCAATTATTAAAGCCATTCTTTAGAAATAGCATACTTGGTAAATTTTACCTCTGGTAAATGTAAAAATCAGCTAAAAAAAAAAAAAATTGTTTATATTATTTTAGATCCTTTAATTTTTTAATAGTTCAAGATTTGTATAGTAGATTTATAAGATCATGAAAGGTAATCAAGCAATTTCTGAATGGCAGAATTCAAATAGACATTCAATCTGCCATTTAATACTATCATATGACTTTACAGAAATGCATGTCTGTAAAGTTATGCAATAATATTGAATAACAGGTTGAGTACCATTTGAATTCTGTTATTCAATTTTAACAAGTATTTATAATTTTTAATAATCATATTAAATGAAAGTATTATTAACACAAATTAGGTAAATAGCAATAGACATTATAATATGCTAATGATGAAAGGTTGAGAATACCTAAAGCAAAATTTACATTAGATGAATGGATAAGCTATATATTGCATTTGGATTTCTATTTTTATATGATAATAATATTCATAGAGTACTTCAAGTATAGAAAAAAAAAATAATAATGATTAGGTAATTAATAATTAATTATTAATATTATTGTTAATTTATATGTGATCACAACTGCAATTATTCTGAATTTTTTTAAACAGATCCTCTTACCTATATTCGAAAGTCAAGATATGGTGAAACCTTGTAAGTGCGATATGTATTTTATAAAATTTTTATTTATATGTTAACCCTCTAACAATTTAAGAATTAACATTGAAAGATATCTTAATTCATCAAAAAAATCTTTAAAGAACAGATAAGCAAAACATCTATAATTTCAAATTTAACCAGAATTTTGGCTTATATGAAACTTTAAATTAATGTAATATGAAATTTTAAGATATAGCTTTGAAGTAATTCTAGGCAATTTTCAAGTGAAAGATTATCATTTTATTTTTTGAATATAATATATATAAGCAATCTTTTTCAAATTTGAATTTTTTTAGTATCACTTCATAACATTTATTCTAGTTACAGTATATCCTACAAATATATGTATGTATTGTACGTACATATATGCACTAAAACTTTGTTAGTTTCATTATGATTATATTACTGAGTAAATGTTACTATATAATATTTAATAACCTGTGGTATAATCATAAAACCTATTTTCGTGTACATTTGTAACAGATCAGTATAATATAGACAAGCTAATCTGTATAGTGTAGGCTGAATTTTTAAATTTATACTGATCAGCTATAATTTCTAACTCTAACGCTAATATATATAACAACATCAGATCAGTATAGTATAGATTTAAAATTTTGGTCTATACTATACAGATCTGCTCACCTATACTATACTAATCTGTGAATATTAACTTGTAAACTGTAGAATGATTATAAGAATCTTGTGGAGCAAACCAGAACACCATTTTAAAGATATAAGACTTATAAAGCAAGCTCTATTGATTCCTTTTTTATGGCACTCAAGATTTACTATAGTACATATACTGTATAAATACTAAATCAAGTTGAAATATAATCAATTTGTAGTCTTAATGCAATATGTTGCATAGCTATTTTATTACAATATAATCTTAAAATTTATAAATTTTAATAAAATATTTATCCATGATAACTTTTTATAATAATCAAAAGTTTTTATATAAATTATGCTATGATTTTAACTCTCATTTCGATTGCTAGAAAAATAGTGAACTAAAAAGTTTTAGTAAAGAATTTAATTGTAGTTGATGCGTAAATATAATTGCAAGTGATAAGACTAGTACATTAATTCAAAATTAAATGTTTGTAAATTATTAATATAAGAAATTAACCAACCGATTTGACCAGCTAAGCTGAAAATTTTTCTTATTATATGCATTGATATTTTGTATAATAGTCTTCTTAGAAGTATTATTAGTTAAATAAAAAAGGTGCCGATTTTCAAAGGACATAATATTGTAAACAACAGATTGTTCTTTATTTTCACCTTCCATCGTAGTACTTCCAAAAAATAGTCAAACCTAATAATAAATTTATTAGAAATTATGTATAAATATAATTTTAATCACAAGCTTATATTACCTGATCATAGTTTTTTTTTCTATACTCGAAGTAGAAAAAAATTGTAAAGAGAGACCTTCAGCTTTTAATTGCTGCATAAATAAAAATATATATTTTGCAAATACATGCATATATGGTATAACATCTGCTTTTCAATAAAGTCCAAAATTTTATGAAGAATTAATGTAACCTTTAGACAGGCAACAAAAAGCTCAAACTGAATTTTCTGCATTAACTTTATATTGATGAATCTTTTTATTAGTAATTTGTAATTATCATAAAATATTATATAATCAGTAAAATTCATGCTATAATTGTTCAATATTTTTTCTGTGTATGTCAGAAATAAATCGAGTTATCAGGAATTTTTCCAACATATTTTTTTTATCAGGGCCCATTAATGAAGTCCAATTTCATTTATTACCTATTAATTTAAAAAATTCAAATTGAATTGCAAGGTCATTGAACGCTGCCTCAATGATTAGTTTTATTTGTTTTTCGAATTCTTTTTTTTTAAACAAATCATTAAATAAACATTCCATTAAAACATCTGATATGCATAAAAACAAGTATAATTCATCAGAAATGTAATTTTTTTGATCAATTGCTAGAAATAAAACTGGTTTTTTCATGCCTAATTAATTAAATTTAAAAAGATACATATAACAAGTATAAAATATATAATCAATTTTTAATTCATTTGACAATATGTATAATGAGTATACAATACAGATTACATTTAGAATTTCCAGTATTAGCCCAATCTTGATCCATATCCCACCAAGATGCTGTATCACAATTACAGTATAGACAAAAATAGGTTGCATTTGGAGCATTTAGTCTCATGATTATATACATGAATTTCTAGTCTCTACAAAAAAATAATTCTACAGGCCAATGAACACCATCGTGATCAAAAAAACCATTATCTTTAAGATCTGACAGCTGTTGTTCAAATATATGCCCAATCTTTGCCAATGTATTGTATTTTTCTTGTCCAATATATAAACATATACTTATATATATAGTAAATAAATAAAATTTTTATAATTAATAAATAAATAAATAATTAAATAATTAATTAATAAATAAATAAATAAATAATTAATTAATTAATATAATTAGATGAATGTGTAAGAGTGAAAACCTGGAATCGAATATTGAGTTTTTGCTATGCAAGTTTAATTCCTAATAATATGCTTTTGTTAACTTGTCTAAATTTTTCAATCCACACAGATTGAGACACTTTGATTTTCAGAATTATGCTAACTGTTTTTAAGAATTTCTTTAAAAATTTCTAATACCCAAAACATTCATATACTTCTTTTCTCAAATTCTTAAAAGTACTATTATCCAGTACTAAAGTATCTGAATTTATTGTGTTAGTTAAATAAGGCAAAAATAATGTTGTAATTTCAAATGAATTTACAAGTTCACTTATATTGTTATGATAACTTCACTATTCTTAGAATATATTTCAATAAGATTATGTTGATTTAAAGTTTCATTAGAAATAAGTTGTACCAAAGCATTGAGAATTACTCTTGTTTTTGGATAATTGGCAAGATTATTGCTTCAAAAGTCTTTGTAAAGTTTGATATATTGAGATAATGTACTAGTGTTCCAAATCAAAAATTGATTAGTTAATCGAGTTGGCAACTAATCAATTGATAATTTTGTTAGACAACTAATTGATTGTCAGACTTAACCTCATATCAACTAATCGATTAGTCAATTGATCAATTTATTAACTAATTGATTAATTGATTGATTAAATAGTTGGCTATAATCAATTTTTAATCGAATTTTTAAAATTTTTTTTGGCCAACTAATCAATTGCATTTTTTAGTCTGATTTGTAATACTATAGTATGCCTTGAAACAATAGCTTCATTTTTGATTCAAAATTTGGAATGGTAACTTTCTGCTCAAAATTTTCTAGATGATTACACTTCCAGATTTTCACTTTCACATGTTTAAATAAATAATTAAATTAACAAATATATAACTAAATTAATAATTTTAATTATTAATTTAGTTATATATTTAAAAATTAATAAATTAAATAAGCTAATTAAATTAATATAAAACTTACCAATATTGATAATCTGGTTTTAAAACCTCTTTACTCTTATTCAAAAGACAAATAGTTATCATTATATGATTTTGTTTGTGGCCTACATTATGGCCATCACCTCTAAGTTTTAACTTAATTGTATCTCTTAGAACAAGAGTAGATGGAGAAGACTGCTTCCAAATAGGAACAAAAATATTTAAAATAGATTTGATGAATCTATAAGCACCATTTTTGATTTTTGACTGTTTAAGACTGGGTTAATTATTTACAGCTTCATTAGTGCTAAAAGTTTCAATTTCAATTTTTTTATTTATTATATTTGTTATCTCGATTCTTCGTTTTGCAACTTGATGCTCTCGAATAAGTTGAGATTCAGCAGCAGCCAGTTGACAATAGTTATCATAAGACATTAAAGATTCATCATATGCTCAAACAATAGCATCCAACTTAAGAAGTTCTACTTCTTTATTAAATGGTTGGTAATTTATCTTAACACTTTTATTATTAACATTTAACTAAATATTATATATATGAACAACAGGCTGTTTATCATTTATAACAAATTGATGTTATGTGATTAGTATTAAAAATTCTTTTTCGAAATCTTTTCTAAGAGCAACAAATCACTTATATTGCTCTAATGTTAATTGTATAGTTGAAAATGGTCATCTTCTAGCATTTTTTTTTATTAAATGTTGTGGGCTGCTCATCCAGACTTTCATGACTATTAGACTTCAACTACTATTTATTTGTCTTGTTTTTGTCTTTAAAAATGCCTATTCCATTCTGATAGCAACTTCCAACACTTAATTGTCCTTTGGAATTTCTGGCCTCAGCAGATTTCAAGTACTATTTGAATGCTTTTTTTTTGTCTTTACGAATGCCTATTCTATTTTGATAGCAATTTCCAACGCTTAATTGTTCATCAGAATTTCTACCTTTGGCAGATCTCAAATACCATTTAAATGCTTTTTTTACATCTTTAAAAATATCTATTTCATTTTTATAGCAATTTTCAACATTTAATATTCTATTGGAATTTTTACTACCAGCAGATTTCAAGTACTACTCAAATGCCTTTGTCTTATTTTTAGAAATGCCTATTCCATATTGGTAGCAATTTCCAATGATTAATTGTCCATTGGTGTTTTCATCTTTAGCAAATTTCAAGTATTATTCAAATGCCATTTTTTCATTTTCATGAATGTCTATTCTATTCTGATAGTAATTTCCAACACTTAGTTGTCTATCAAAGTTTTCACTCTTGGTCTTCAAATACTATTCAAATGTTCTTTTCTCATTTATGTCACTTTGGTAACAACTTTCAGTACCAAATTGTTTGTAAGAACTTTCATTTTCAGTATGTTTTTGAGCATTACAAACAGAATTTAATCTTTGGTTTTGTTTTTTATTTGGGCTTAAGTTTCTGTCAAATATTATTAGTTCAACATAGTGTTAATGATACAGTTGACTATATAAACTAAGTTCTGCCTTTAAATTAGGAATTACTAGACTTTGCATAGCTTTGAGCAGAAGTTCTGATGTCAGTATACAAAACCTTTCTTTAAGGTTATTCTTGCCACATATTGCGCATAGTCCTTTATTTTTGCATGGTCTACCTACTGGCATTGTCACTAGTAAGAATTTTGGATCTAGAAAAGAGAATTTTGAATCTAAAAAAGTAGAGTATTGGTGAGTATAAATATAAAATTTCTGTGTGTAATACAGTCTATAAGAAAAGTTACATTGTTTTTACAAGGACCAAAATTTTAATAGTAATTAAGTAAATTAGCCAATCAGTATGCAATTTGCAATAATCACATCAGAAATAAATTCGCCCATATGCATAAACTACTTTCTTATATATTGAAGACCAAATTATACATTTTTTATATGAAACTAATTTTTTTTTCTTAATAAACCTAATTTATATATGATAATCTATTACATGATCTTGTTCACAAAATCTTACCAATTAAATTATTAATTACACTAAATTTAATTTGATTAACTGATACATTTGTTTTATTTTTGGTTAATTTTTATATTTTCATATAAAAATACTATATATTTAAAGTTATATAACTTTAAAAAGTACAAAAATTTTTTAAAAAGCAAAGCTGCTAAGTTGTAATAAATTGGTTTAGCTACAAATTAGTAGCTTATTTTTTTTTGTATAATTTTTATATATTAAGTTATTAATCTTTAAAATTGTGTAGTCTTTAAGTATTATGCATTGTATATATATAAAGGAATATTAATAATTAGTGTTACATAAGACTTTGGTGCAAACCTATGATAAGATCACCAGATATAGAAAACCAAGAAACTGAGAAGACAGAAGCCTACTTGAAAATTCTTGAGTAAAGAGATAGCACAAATCTTTGATAGTATTGTCAGACTAATAGAAGCTTATAAAACTCTAATAAGAAATAGACAAATATAACTAGATAGAAAGATGTATAGAAAAGCATATAACTAATTAGGCTGTTAGAATTACTAAAAAAAAAGAATACTAAAGTATACTACATTAGACTATCTAGATTGGATATCTGAGGAGTCTGTCAGATTCTAAGTTGGATAGTAAAAGAATAAAAAAAAAAAGTCAGAAAGATAGGTACTGAAATTTGAGTGAACTTTACAAAAATAGAAATAGTATAATGTAGTAGTAAAACAAGTAACTTCTGTAACTGCAAATGTTAGATAACTATAGTGTGTAATATAAAACTAGGTTAGCTATATGTAAAACACAGAAGGCTCTAGTAACAATACTTCTAAGAATACATTGCATGAAATAAGATATAGGTCTTAAGGATATGGGTAAAAGTATCTAGACTTTCTTAATTGACATATGTATTAAAAATAATCTAGTAACATAGTATAAATTGCAGTACAAAGAGTTTAAATAGGCAATGTCTTTAGTTGGATTGCAGATATAGCAGCTAGTATAGAACTATTAGCAGACTACTTGAATTAGATATCAAAAGTATATATATAGTTAGTTGTACTCTCTAATATAAGATAACTTCTTTGAGGCCTCAGCTACAAGTCTCTATGTTCTAACTTATTGAATAAAGCTCTAGTTCCAAAAGAAACTAGTTTAATATTCAAAAAAAATTTTAAATTTTAAAAAAAAATATCTTATATATAAAATAATATAAAAAATATTATTACTTAATAGACAAAATATAGTTTGTATATAGAACTCTTTGCAGCTATAAGAGCCAAGCTTCAAACAGTGAGCACTCTTATAGAAGACAACATATTAGAATCAACTACAACATCTTCAAAATCCTTTGACTCTAATGCATGTTATAATTTATTCTTACATAATAACAAAATACCACTAATTTATCATCCTTAAACATTATACTTTTTCATTCAATATTTACAACATCACAACTTTACCAAGCTATTTAAAATATTTATTAATTTATCTCATACAGAAACTTATATTTATACTAACTACAATGACAACCTACTTTCTAATCATACTATACTCTTATATCATCAATATTATAAATATTATTAACTACCTTTAAAATCCTCTTCCAACCTTCCTAACAAGGATATTTTACTTAAACTCAATATTGCAACACACAATGTCCAAGGATACAATACACAAGAAAAAAGGCTATTATGGAAAAATTACTGTTTAATTCATAACTTATATATAATTAGTCTTACCAAAACAAAAACTTCTACAAATACAAAACCCAAGTCCTGGAACACATCTCATTATTCATACTTCTGGTTCAACTTTACAGAATCTAAAGAATGAACATATATAATGATTAAAAATAACATTCAACTCATATACACAATATAATCACACAACCCAGTGATGCTATTGCTATAGATCTATTTTTCAAACATGACTATAAATTTAGAATTATTTTAGTATACTTTTCATCTACTAATACTGCTAACCACAAACTTACACAAGACATCATTACTACATAGACATAACAAGCAATATCATCCAACCTATATCCTATCATACTTGGAGATTTTAATGCAGACAACAATACTACTATATTATCAAAAACTAAATTCTAATTACTTAACTACTTGCATAGATAAACATGTATAACTTAGCAGACCATAGCAACAATTTACAAAACACTTGATATAGTACTTGATATCAAACTAGAATAGACTATATATAGGCCCATGATGCTCTTATACCATACTTAAATAAATTTAAACTTGACAATTCATCATTCTCAACTAACAGTGATCACCAAATTCTAATCTTTACATGGATATTTCCATTTGCAGCAACCAAAACCAGACACAAAAGCAAAAGCAAATGATGAATATTTAACTACAAAGCTATGTCCAAAGATGACTAGAACAACTTCACAGATCAAATAAACTCAAATATAATACAATACCAGATTCCAATTACAACAAATACAACAGAAAGCCTTGAAAAAACCTGACATAAAATATATACCAGTATTATCATTGCTGCATTTCAACACATCCCAAACAAAAAATACACTGTTAAAAACTTTTATTATATATTTACACCAAAAGCAACCCAATTATATTATAATCTTAAAACTATTGGACATATTATACATCATGTTAAAAAACTTTTCTTATACCAAATACTATTACCTACCAATATTCAAAACCTCATCGATACATTAATCATACTCATAACTTTATTATTGAACCACTATCTAATCATCAATCCAGCCTAGTTACTTGGATACAGCACACAAAAACCTTCTGAAAAACACTCTACAATGCCTGAAACATCGAAAACTCTAAACATTTTCATAACCATATCAACATAGCTACAAATAAATAATGTGAACAATTATCTATCCAACCAACCAAAATGATTAACAGTATATTAAACTGACATACAGATATAGTACATTTTCAAAACATCAAATCTACTAATAGTATAATTACTAACCCTACAGAGATTAAACAACATGTTAGTGAATATTTTAAAACATGAACAGACCATTATCTATTTGATGAAAATATCTTCAATCAAAATTGAAAGATAAAATATTAATTTAATACTAGTATTAATACTGAATAGTATACTCACATACTTCAAGAAATTACTACAGAAGAAATTATTAGCACTATACAACAACATCTAACAACAAAGTCTGTGAGCCTACTGGAATTAGTTATGAAATGATTAAACACCTTAGTTCTAACATGCAATCTGCACTTATAGCATTCTTTAACAAATGTTTAACTACACAAAATATTCCCAAACAATGAAAATCTAGTAGAATATATCTCATCTCAAAAAAACCAGAATTCGATAAAAACCTTAACAATACTTGACCTATCAGTCTAATTAAACATACAAAGAAACTATATATTAAAATCCTTACTAATCGTTTATCACAAGTTTTAACTTAACACCAAATTC